GTGTGTGTGTGTGTGTGTGTGTGTGTGTGTGTGTGTGTGTGTGTGTGGTGGGATGGGGGATCATGGAGCGAGAAATACTGAAACTTTCAATCAAAAACCCCAAAAAATGAAGCAAAGAACACCGCTTTGATGATGGCGAAGACTTTTGGATTCTTTAAGCATGTTTCCATGACAACTATCTAAGCCAAATCCTTTAGTTGCGCGGTAACACATTAGTTTGTGCAGAATCCAATGTAATCAGTAGTCAAACAAATAAACAAATACACACAAACACAGCCAGATAAGGCGAGCCCAGGGCTCAAAGCATCTTATTCCAAAATAATCCAAAAAAGATCCCACTGGAGGTATTTTCAAATGTTTTCTCTCATCTCATTGAAGAAAATCAACATTTGAGGAACTGAAATGAATTTAACTCAATCGATTGCCACTTGCAGACATAATTATCAGTGGTGGAATGATCTCTGTCCACTAAAGCTTAGTAACAGATAAAGTGACCCGGAGGGGCTGCTGTTCACAACGAAGCGGCGTTCAATCTGTCAAAGGACAGAAAAGCGGGACACTTCCGGTTTTGTGGCCGGGGATCCGAACTGGAACGTGTACCTGGAGAACGGTGAAGTGCAGCGGGTTCAGAAAGGGCTGGTGGGTTCTGACCCCTCCGCAGGTCGGATAGTAAATACCTCTCCAGCACAGGGGGGTGTGATATTCCAAACAGCTCTGCGATTTTTACCTGCCAAACTACACCTACAAACGCCTTTTGGCTGCTCCGGGGCCTCTCAAACACAGCCGCTGACCTGTCGGGCTCTGAATGCGTCCCTGGGTGAAACGCTTTCTGAGTTCTCTGACAGCTGGAAGGCTCCAGCGGCCCTGGACGGGCGCCAGACATCCAATGAACCGGGATCTCCTCCTGCAGCACGGTGGACGTGTCCGGAGATGAGAGCTGAAAAGCTGCCCGCGGCTGCCGGTAAAACCGGGCTGACCTCGCTCGAAACCTCTAACTCTGCGTGCGAGTTTTTTGGTTTTTATATGAAACCGTCTTTTTGCAACATGTTTGTGCAGTGCAGAGCATGAAAGGAGAGCAGGTGAATGGAGCAGGACGCCTGCTGAGGCATGTTGATGAATTACCAATACGCTGCTGCGGCTGTCATGTTTTAAACGGGCTTGCCAGGAATGCACCGGCTGGATGAAAAACGATGGAAAAAGCGAGAGAGGCAAAATCTGTTTTGTTATTTTCACTGCAAAAAAAAAAGCCACACTGACGGTTAGCCAACAAGTTCCTTCTATTAATTCATGTTATTAATGTTTACGATGAAGCCTGAAGAGATGCACTATGTGGATATTTTAGGGCTATTTTTTTTTCCTTTCTGGGGTTTGAGAAATCAGGCTGACTGAAAAAGACTGTAATATAATAGTTTTTTGTGTAGATTGATCGTTACCTTTCGTCTTTCTGATTAAGGGTGTTTTTCCATTACATGGCTTGGTGTGGATCGCCATTTCTCATGTTTCTTTGTAAGCAGTAGCTTGTACCTGGTGCAAGCTAAGAGTAGTAGCTATTTAGCTAAAGTATCAAAGTGATTTGACAGAGATATGAAATAACTATTTACAAATGTGGAACAACTTAAAAGGCCAGATTCAATAATCACAGGAGCATTCGAGGAGATCAAACTGTAGAAAACCGAGACCACCATCAAACAGGGGCTCCTTGGATTGGCCTTTTTTAGCCTTTTTTAGCCTATGAAGAAGGTTTTTCTCAAACCACTGACTGTCTTTTGCTTGAAAATGTTTCAGTTACAACAACAGAGCTCAAGTGAACTTTTCATGTTGCGTGAGACAAACAAATAGACGCAGACGTCGTTACCGTGACGTCACATCTGTACTGTGAGAAAGGCGTCAACCGGGAGCAGACACCATTTAAACGGCACTTTACTCAGACTGGCTGCTGTGATGTGGATCGTGTGAAGGACCGGACACGACGTTGTGCCTTTAAGCTCCCTACTTGTTCATGAGGTCGAAGCCTTGGTCCGACAGCAGGGCTCCGAAGCGCTTCCGCAGGTTGTTGTAGGGATACTCTGTGAAAGTCATCTTCTTCACGGCGGGCAGCTCGTTGTAGCCGGGCCAGATCTTCTCGCTGGGTGAGCCCAGGTCCTGCGGTCAACACAGCAGTCAGGAGACACGCTTTTGGTGCGGGGAGACATTTATATCAGACTTTAAATGATCAGCTATAATATAAATCCACAGGGTTGCGGTGCTTTGTGTGGATTCGATCGACTATGGAGAGTCCTCTGCCGGGTGCCTGGCAACAGCTCCACCATGAGATGGGCTGCAAAACTGCATCCTGAACGCCGACGCCGGCACCGGGGCAGATTTACAGGCAGCACGCAGAGAAGTTGGGCTTTTATGGTGACAATTCAGCTGATTTCTTAAGAGCAAATGATGACATTTACCTTGAAAATCTTGTTAATTTGGTCAATTTCAGATTTTCCAGGGAAAAGAGGTTTCTGGGTGAGAAGCTCGCCAAATATGCAGCCCACAGACCACAAGTCCACAGCTGTGGAGTACTCCTGCGGAGAGAAGAACAAACACAGTGGTAGTCCGCAGAAAGGGAGGACCAGACAGTCTGCCTGGCAGGTTTCTGTTTGAGTTTGTCGGCTGTGTGAGAGTGGATGCGCTCTGACAGCTCGCTGGGCCTCTGCCGCCTGGCCGCATAAATCATGCACGCTGCGAACTCCAAAAGCATTTAGCGGTGCGCGGCGTCTTACAAGCCAAACGCTTGGCAGAGGCTGCCTTCTAATGAAAACACATCCTGGTCTGAATCGGTCCGCCTTGTAGGCGCTTTGGCCCGGTGTTTTTTCGTCCGGCTCTCACCTTGGCTCCCAGCAGCAGCTCGGGGGACCGGTACCACAGGGTCACCACAACAGGGGTGTAGGGCTTCAGCGGGGAGCCGTACTCGCGGGCCAAACCAAAGTCACCGATCTACATTGCAGAGAAGATGGAAAACCAATCTGAGAGACCACAAGCTTTCTATTTGTGGAGAAAGTTATATTTCACTAACATTCCCTCTCCAAATGAATGTTGTTTTGATGTCAAAAAAAAAAGAAGAAAATAAAAGACTGGGGCGTGAGACAACTTTTTAAATGTCAGCTTTTACCAGATTTACACTGACAAACATCTGCAAAAATAAGATTTATTTACATACAAATAAGTGTTGCGCAATCTTAGAAGCGCTTGTTCCGAATGGCCGACAGTGATCGTGTTGTTTCTGAAACCGGGTGCTTCACGCTGCCAAATTCAAGAGGATTAAGAAAAGATGGGCGGAAGGAATTTCTTAACTTATGCTCTCACGAAAAATGGTTTTATAACTGTTTTTAATTAAGAAGTGAAAAACAACTGAATAAATAATTCTTTAGAGCTCAGATTGATTACTCGTGAGTTTGAGTCTGATTACAGGGATCGGATTAGTCTTACTTTTTGAGCGTTAGGACTTAATGAGCGCGGATAAGATATTCCATCTTTCTTTTTTTTTTTTCCTAAAACTTCAGACTATGCTAAATCACATGCTGGGACAAACTTATTGCTCTTAAAACATGTGTTTGCAGTCTGTGTAAAGAAAAAAAGCCTGACGAAGCTCGCCTGCAGAGCTCAACTTTAGAAAGAAAAAATAACTCAAAGGAGCCTGGAAGTGAACGGCAGCCTGACTTCCAGTCTAAAGAAGTTACAACAACGGGCAGCAAACCTTCAGGATGCCCTTATGGCTCAGCAGCAGGTTGGACGTCTTCAGATCACGATGGAGGATCCAGTTGTCGTGGAGATGTCGCACTCCTCGAAGAAGCTGAATCATCAGAGTTTTGACTTCTCCTGAAAGAGGGGAAAACCAAAATTAGGCGTCAGAACATTCATTTTCTGCTCTTGCACTCCGATTTGGACCTCAGAAAGATGAGTCTGATCACCTGGCAGGAAGGGCTGCTTCATGGTTTCCATCAGGCTCTTCAGGTCATGCTCTACGTAGTTCATCACGATGTAGATCTTGTCCATGTTGCTCCCAACCACTATTTCCTGTTAACGTGGAGGAGTGGAGAGATTATAAGGAGACAGAGCTCTTTGAAGGGCGCCTTAAAGCAGGAAATGCTGATATCGTTCCTGTCCTCTCACCCTCACAGTGACGATGTTTGGATGCTGAGCTTTCAGAATCGTGTTGATCTCTCTTAGCGACGTGATGGGAAAGCCCTCTTTTTCCTTCTCCATCTTTAGCCTTTTCAAGGCAACGATCTCGTCTGCAGACAGGACCAGAGTTCAGCGACAAAACCAGCTGATGTGAGCCGTTACCGGTATGTTTGCATTTTGCCTCACCGGTCTTCTTGTCCTTGGCTCTGTACACCACACCGTAGGTTCCCTCTTCTATTCGGTTCAAACACTGAAATTCTTCCACGCTTCGGCAACCCTGAACACAGAACGGGATTCAGGAACGGCGGGGATGAGGGCGTGCGCGTGGGGTTGTTAGTGGGCCGTGTGTTGGCACTCGCCTGTAAAGCCGGCAGATATTTCGGCAGCTCCTTCTTCAGCTCCACGGGGGAGATGGGGGGCGAGTCTGGGATGTAGTTCTCCTCCGGCGTGGGCGAGCGGGAGTGAGTCTGCGACTGTGGCGTGACGTCTGCCTCGCCCGCTTCCTCTTCATCGTCCTCCATGTCCTCACCGCTCTCCTCCGAGTCGTGGTCGAAACGAGACTCTGGCACTGAGAGAGAAATAGGAGAGGGGGGCGGCTCAGAATTTGTGTATCTGAAGGGGAGCGCTGAAATTGAGATATATGGCCTGGACCCTTCTATTCCTCTAAAAACCTTCCCGTGTGCTCAGAAAACTCTGCTGTTTGCGTCTTCCATGTGAGGACTCTATGGGAAAATGCCTAAATTTTCTGCTTTTCAGCGCGGCATTTAGTGCCAATCCCTGCTCTTCTTTCGGGTTTCGGCTTTGCCTTGTTAAAGATAGTTTGGAATTGACGAGAGTTGGGGGCCTGGGGTTATCTAGACACCTGAGTGGCTCACCAGAAAGAGGCTGGCTTCCTAACTGAGAGAGTGCAAAGGACAGGGACTTGGGTTTGGGCCTGTGTATAAACATCTCCTCATGAGCTCTCAAACGGAGGCTGAACACATGGCACCTATCATGTCAGAGCTTTACGAACCTGGAGGGATGTGGATTCCATTTTCCTTCTCCAACTCAAAATCTTCCTCGGACTGTTCTTCTTCACTCACATCCTCTGAAACAGAGAAAAACCCTCAGTGTTGCGCGGGGTTACTGGACCTGACGGAACCACGGCGGTCTCGGAAGAAGAGGACTTGTGGTTTTTACCTGCACTCTGCTCCGACCGCCCCGAACCTGAAACCGACTCCTCCCCCTCTTCTTCATCCTCCTCCTCTTCCTCCCTTCCTTCTCCTTCTTCTTCTTCTTCCTCCTCTTCGTCCTCCTCCTCTTCCTGACCCTCACTTTGGCTGCTGGACTCCTCCTCTTCATCTTCCTCCTCATCTTCCTCCCCAGAGCCTGATGCTGATGCTACGTAGGCAGAAAAGGCAGAGAGCATGAAAAAAATCAATCCACTGTAAAACTGAAGAGATGATTACATGTTCATAGTTTGGTCCACACTAAATAAGATGAAGGTTCACAGTAAGAACAAAGTCATTTCAAACTTTTTGGGGTGTTACTTGACAGCTGATTGCTGTCAGAGTAAACGTGTGACGCCTTACCCATGGAGGACTCTGCAGTACTGGTCTTTCTTTCAGTGTCACTGATGTCCTGCAGGTCTGCTAGGAGGTCTTTAATATCTGGCTTCTCATCCTTTACTGCTAAGAAAACAAACAGTCCCCCAAATTACAGTGTGAGCCGCATCAAAATGTGAGTAACCCTGACGTGACGGGAGACTCACCGGCGCTCTTCCTCGGTTCGCTGAGCTCAGGCCTGTCTCGGGGAGCCCGAGTGGGGCTGCGACTGCGGTGAATTTGTTTCGGTTTGTCGTCATATTCGTCCGGTAGCATCCGATGGTGAGATGGCACTTTGGGTGAGAAAACAAAAAAACGGGTCAATTTTGCTACAGATTAAACATATTCTTTGGGTCAATTGAGCTACAGATTAATCCTTTTAATCGGTTAGAAAATATCCCTGCTAGCAAAGACTGCGTGGCAGAACACTGCTAAACTTCTGCTTCTTATTGAAATAATACCTCTGTTGTTCGGTCGAGCAGTCACTGACCTTCCCGTCGAGTCCCTCTTTCTTTACGCCGCTCTTCGGCTCTTCTCTCCCGTTCCTTTATGTCCCGCTGCTCCTTTTGCTGCTCCCGCAGCTTCCGGTCCCGTTCGCGCTGACGTTCCAACTGCTCCAGCCGGTCCCTGTTGTGCAAACAAAAATAGAACTGTCCAGTAAACACCTATCCAGACACCCCAAAGTATCATAAGAAATCTGCACTGGTAAAGGATCCTTTATTTAATTAGCTCTTAAGAAAAAGCACATCCATTCTAACTTGTTTTCAATGAATAAGAAATGTTATGAACCCTGCAAGCCTACCCTAGTGGTTTTTTGTAGCTTTTGATGAGTGCATGCACACCGACAGAATAACTGGGGGAAAAAAAATCTAGATTAAGTTTATATTGGTAACAATGTGAGAAAAATACATTACTTGAAATGAGTACCAAAAAAGTTATTTCAAATACACAAATGCTGATATCTGTCACAATCAAAATAACATCCGTGTCCTAAAATGCATTCAGTACCTTCAATCCGAGGTTGATGCTCACCTTTCTCTGCGGGAATGAGCTCGGGCCTGCTCCCTTCGCTTCTGCCTCTCCCAGTCCCGCCGCGCTTTGTCCTCCTCCCACTGACGCTTCCGCCGGTCACTCTCTCGCTCTTTCTCCTTCTCTTTCGGCCGGACATGTTTCCCTCCTGTATTGGCAAAAGCCACGAGCCAGAGCAGATTAAAAAAAAAAATTTAAAAGGAAAACAAGTCTCAGACTAATTTCATCCAAACGTAAACCGTCTTGTTGATTCCTAATGAAGGAGCACTTCCTCACCCCCTTCAGCAGAGTGACTACGATGGCGTCGTTTATCTTTTCTCTTCTCCTCCTTTCTGTGGTGAGACTTTTCCTTCCTTGCTACCTGCTGCGGAGGCTTGATTGCAAGGGATTCATCCTCCTCTCCTCTACCAGAAATAAAAACAAAACACTGTAAGAATAATTATAAATAACACAACTTTTAAAGGGAAAGATTTTTTCATAATTTTGGGTTGAGTTACTCATAACAAAAATTTCTCCTGGGACTACCTGTCCTCTGTTGAGTCTTCCCGTGTGTAAGGGGAATTACGAATTGTTATTTCCATCCTTTGATCGCGTAGTTCTCCTTCCTCCGGAGTGTCTCGTTTGGCTTCCCGATCATCCGCCTGTGGTACAACGCTCGGCGTGAACTGTGCAAAACAAGAAGAGAAGAATCCATGGTTAAAGCCAGAAATCTACAAATTTTCTCGTTCACCTCAATGAATCAAAAACAGAGAAAACATGAGATATTTATGCTGTTATATATTAACTCATTTCCCCCCAAAACTGATCTAATTGTTTCCATCAGAACTATTACTCTGTTCTACTCTTATTCTCACTCAAGAAAAGTATTCAGAAAACAAGATACTCACACTTGAGTTGACATAAAAAATTATGACGCAAACGGCAGCATTTTATGGCAGAAATTTTAGCAAATTAAACCATGTTATATAGATATAAAAAGAAAAATCACAACTTTGTTTTCCTACACGTGTAATGTGATTATTAAATGGCTGTTTCTTTGAGGTACTTTACATTTTTCTGGCGCTTGGGATTTGTTCTCTCTTCTAATTCTCTTCGGCGTCTTTTCTCTAGTAGGATTTCATCAAGAGTTTTTACTTTCCAAGTCTCCTTTTCGTCCCCCATCAGCATCCGCTCTCCACCGCCTGTTCAATGCACACAAAACAAACAGGGTTTAATACAATGCCATAATTTGATGTTAATTTAAGGGAGCACAGCTCTAAATACAAATAACTCAAAGAAATGTTTGGAAAATATTTTGAGGAAAAAACTGCGTCAATATCAAATACTTGTCCACCTCCGTTGTAACATTGGATGTTTGGCAGATCTTTAAACAGCAACAGTTAGACTGGAGACACATATGTCTGTTATCAATGCATAGAAATACAGTAGCTTATTTAGCAAAGCTAATCGGCTAAACAGCAAATCTGCTTAATAATTTCCATCTACACTTACTATACCTGGTGTAGTTGTATATACCAGAAATAGGAGCAGAGTAAACGAGAAATTGAACACTTTTAAACCTATTAGGGGCTCTTCCTCAAGCAGATGATGCTAACACGTTAGCTAGCAAACGTTAGTTGAATTAGCACGATCGGCTGTTGCTAAACAACTTCTGCAGCTAACTACAACATATTTCAGGAAATGACTGACACGACCAGTGCGGCTATAAACTGGGCAGCACATATTGGCATCCATAAACGAATTTGAAAGCCTAGATGAGGAGCACGGTGATTTTATTGTGCGAGCAGTTGAAATGCTTAAACTAACCTGAAATCTGCGCAGTGGTACTTGTAGCTCACCGGAAGCTTCAGCGTGCGAGCAACGGTTGTAAAACTTCCGGTGTGAAACAAGGATTTCCGATGATGTCATCATTATAATATAATATAATATAATATAATATAATATAATATAATATAATA